AACACATATTGCAATTTTACGTTGGGAAATGCAATGTTCCTAGGTAGTTTAACCATTTCTAACATGTCTTTGCTTCGACTGCATGCGTCATTCCGGCTTACTTTCTTTATCTCTCTTTTTATGTCCCTTTTTTTTCCTTTTCTTTTATTCACTTTGCCTTTTCTTTTTTTCCTTTTTAGTAGTGGTCGAATCTTATGTAGATTGCATACGTATCATGTCCCCGCATGAATCAGACCGGGCGTAGTTCTGCCCTATAAGTTCAAAAAGCAAAAAGATAATTTTTTGGAAATTTTTCATTAACAAACATTCTATTACAAACCAGACGCTTCTTAGAAAGGAAAATAACAAACTCGAAACCAAACCAAGTACGAACTCAATAACTACCAACGGACTCTGATGCGAAATAAAGACAGATTCTAACAGACTCTAAGAGAAAGAAAATGCAGATTCAAACTATGAACTCATTAAGGTTTTGAATTTGGGTGCCCGCGGGGCGTCATTCGGCCTCGCCACGGGTTTAGGGGTAAGGTTCCTTTCCAGCTGCTCCAATTCATGCATGATTTGTTTCACAAATATCATCACCGCCGAGAAGAAGGTAGTGCGGGTCATATTTTCACACTCCCGACATTTCTTGGTGATAGCACAAGCAATAGTCAGAATCTTGTTCCTGGTTCGGTCTTTCTCTAGGAGTAGGCGTTCTATCTGATCCCCTCTAGTCTTCAAAACCCAAGAATCATGCAGATGTTGTTTCCGTAACTGCTATATTTCATCTTCCATTGAGGCCATCAGATTACAACAGTGTTTACTCTCGGTTTCAAAAGCCTTGGCTTGTTGAGCCGCCTTGTTCTCTAGGGTGGTCACCTTCCCTTTTAGACTGACAATGGTCTTTTCATAATCTTTCCTTGCCTGCTGTAGGTACTGTGTGCGCTCTTTTGTTCTCTTTGCCCATTGTACCTGGAGTTGTGCTAGGGTACCCTCAGATTTCTTCAAATCATCCCGGCACTCACCGACTTCCTTTTTAATCCTTTTATTAACCGCTCATCCGACCGACTCCTTTGTTGTTTGTCAGCACCTCTCCTCATATGTCGGATTTGGGCTTTCAGTGCCTCGTTTTCTTGGGCCATTTTGCTCTTTTCTCCCCGGTCGGCATCAACTTGCAGACTATTTTCAAATTTAAGGTCTCTAATCTGTTACATTAGCTTGCCTACTTCGGCCCGGTATTCGCGCTTTTTGGCCAACCACTCCCACTGTTCTTGTGACGCCTGGACGAACTCCTGGAGATGGGGCCTTTTGGCCGGTCTCCCAAACTCGATTTCTTTCCTAAACCAAGCAAGGTATCCCGACGAAACTTCACCCTTGGACCGATCACGTACACATGTATTGGATGTTAAGTATTGACACTCGCTCCATATTTGTCAGACGGCTGCTTCAGGAAACTGTCCGTTGGGCCCGAAATCAACTACTTGGCCGCTAAGATCTTCATCTCTCGGAACTATTTTGGCATCTCCCCAACTGTCTCATCAAAAGGAAATGGGGTCCAGTGGTTGGCATATGTACGTTTTCATCCGCAGGCAACCATCCAAATGTCCATTCTATTTGGCCCGCAGTGACAGAACGGAGGCGTGTTATCCATTCTGTGACCCCTTCTGGTAAGCTGATTCCGTCAATCCTTGTGGAAAATTCCTCTATGCATGTTTTCTCTGTCAACCCATAACTCATAAATTGAGTACGACGCCATAGGTGTTCAATCATCCATATTTGTAGCAACACATTGCATCCTTCAAAAAAGTTTCCCCCGGCTTTGCAGGCTGTGAGAGCGCGGAAGATTTCAGCTACTATCATGGGTGCGAGGGTGCTGTTGGCCTGAGTGAGTAGAGTGCTGACAACCTTGGATACTCGTATGTCAATGTTCCCGTCTTTTCTAGGAAACACCAGGAGTCCCAGAAAGGCTACCATGAATGCAAAACACATGTGTTCTTCCCACTTAAGGCGGTTTCCTTTGCTATAGATTTTGTTTTCCGGCTTGTTGAACCCCCTATGTGGCCATACCTGTTGTATATAAACCGCAAAGTACAAAAACCAGCTGCCAAGTCTGGATTGTGGACCCCCTGCTTATTTTCAAAGAGTCTAGGAACTTGTGTACGGCTACGACCCTTGGAGCAATCAGGTACTGGTGTCTCAAAGGAATTTTGGGACCCCCGATGTATCCGACTATTTCTTCCAATGTTAGGGTAAGTTCAAAATCCGAGAAGTGAAATACGTTGTGAGCCGGGTCCCAGAATGCGACCAAGGCCTTTATGATATCCCCTCTAGGATTAATCTTCAGCAACCCAGTGAGGCCTCCCAGGTATAGATTGACTGTGTCTCGTCCTGATTTGCCCAAATCATCCCACTACATGTGCAACTCCAAAGGGATCTTGTTCACAACTGTTACGTGCGAATTCTGACTTGTGCTCATTCTGCACATTTATTAGGGTGGTTAAGCAAAAGTCACGATTCAATTGACTCAAAGATAACATGGACACTTTTCTCTCTTTTTCATTTAAACTAAGACCCGGTCTTGCCAATATGGCCTTTCAGCACCTCGGGGTCGAAGATTTTGAGGCTGTGTCGGCTAACCGGTGAAAGCCTAAAACATGACCACAGGCGGCTGTTCTTGCAAAAATAGCCTTCCGACACTCTTTTAGAGACATTCGGCTATTCCTAACAAGAATGGAACCATCCTAATTATTTTTTAAACCTTTGTTCTTTTGGCTATTTTCGCAAAAAGTGGAGTTGGACCCGATGGGGGTTGCCTACGCATCTCACACCCTGTGAGAATCAAACTGGCGTAGTTTGGGCCGATAAACTTCTTTTGAAAACAAAACTCCTTTTTTGTCTTTTCTTTTCATTTTCTCAGAGTTTCGACACTATTTGGACATTGGTCTTTTTTTTTCTTTTTTTTTTTCAAAACATGCAATTAACTCTCTTTAACCCTCGTACCTCTATCTCTCTTTCCTCAAAATATTCAAAAGCCGGTCAACATGCAAGTCTAAAGCAAACAAATGCACACGTAGCAAATAAGATGCATCAGGATCGTCTTTTATCATTTTTAGGTACACCTGTCCTAGACAGACCCAACCTCTGTGTTGAGCTTCCAAAGTCAAATGCACGTGATGCAAACAAACGTTCCTACTAGGGATCCGGCATGAAGCTGAGTTATTCTAGGTTTATAACCTGGGTATTTGTTCTAGACTGTGTACCCGAGCGGACAACTCGAGTCGAGGAGGGGGCTACGTACCGGGAACCCAAAGGCCATCCGGCTTAGTAACTTGTTCGACCTCTTTCTTATTTCAGGGTATGACACTAACAGAATAGGGAGTCTCAACCATTAAGCACATCCCCGGAGTTAAGAAGAGAAGGGTTCGGCACAGTTTATACACAGTTCGGATAATATCAAAGTGATAAAAGCATCATTTATCACATTAGGCCCAAACATGTAACAAAATTAGATAAAGCCAAATATAACAATTTATCTAAGCTCGAATTTTGAACCCTAAACCAGAGGTTCTGGGTTCGGTTCCCCAGCAGAGTCGCCAAAGCTGTCACACCTTCTTTTTCACCTACACCCCCGAGAAAGGAGTATATAAGGGAGTTTTTCCAATCAAAGGACAATCGAAACAAGATTTATTTATTTATTTCAGAGTCGCCACTTGGGAGATTTATGGTGTCCCAAGTCACCGGTTGAATCCCGAATCGAGGAAAAGAATGACTCTATTTAACAGTCTGTGCACCAGAAATCCGGATAAGGAATTATGTTTACCCGGGGAAGGTGTTAGGCATTCCCGAGTTCCGTGGTTCTAGCACGGTCGCTCAACTGTCATATTCGGCTTGATTATCTGATTTTATACGATTATGAACCTACGTGCAAATTTTAACTATTTACCGCTTTTGTTATTATTTATTCAAAGAATTACAACGTCGTGAGAATGCATCTAGAATTGTGCCACATAAATGTACCCGCAAATTTAGATACGTTCCAACTTCGTTGAGATTTGGATTTGGGTCACATAAATGTGCCCCCGAGTTTAGGAAGATAAGATTATTAAATACGCGCCTAAAGATACTAACACGTTATTTTGAGAAAAGCCGTAAAGTTCGCTATGCGACCTATCTCGAAATCTAAGCATTTGAAATAACTGTCCGTTGAGGGCCCCGCAGTTTGTGTATTCTTGTTTGTCGAGGCTCGTCTCATTCATTATTGTTTTTTTAAAAGGAATTTGCAACGTCATGGAAATACATCTCGAACCACGTCACAATCAATGTACCCGTGATTAACGACACATTTTGACTTCATTGAGATTTGGATTTGGGTCACATAAATGTGCACCCGAGTTTAAGAAAGTAAATTATTAAAAGTACGCGCCTAACAGTGACTAACGCGTTATTACTTTTGGGGAAAAGGCCGTGAAATTCGCTAAGCGGACGATCCCGAGTTCTAAGTATTTAATATATATACAATCGTGAGGGCCCCGCAATTGGTGAGTTTTAAAAGGTGGCCCAGTCCGATTTTCTTCTTATTTCCATTGCTTCTTTTTCTTCTTTTATTTTTCTTAAAATAAAACTAAAATTCTAAAAATCCTAAATTAGCCTATAGAACTAAATTAATTTATAAAAGTTCTAATTAACTCTTAATAACAATTGACACACAATTAAATAGCAATTACGATAAAATCACACAATTTGGACATTAAATGCTAAAAATGCAACGTACATTATTTTTATGATTTTTGTTTTTTTGTAAAAACAAACTTAATCACTCCTAATTGTAGAATCGAATCCTAAATGCAAGTGCGAACATTTTTGTATTTTTTATTAATTTAACAAATAAACATGCACGGACAAATACAAATAATTATCCAAAAATGCCACGAAAATTCTCAACACTGCACACAAAGGAAAATTGTTTTATTTTGAATTTTTGGGAGTAGTTCTCGTAGGGCAAAAATCACGTGCTCACAATGACTATGCCTGGGGGATTTGGTAGCCAGGGGAAGCATAGGGTATGCAGACTACTCAAATCCTTCTATGGCTTGAAATAAGCCTCTAGAAAATGGAATTTGAAGCTAACACAAGCTCTTCTCAAATCTGGTTTTCATCAAAACAGACATGATTACTCCTTGTTTACTAAAGCAACTAATGGAAAATTTGTTCTCATACTTGTCTATGTAGATGACTTACTTATTACAGGTAATGATCAAGAGGAGATTGATGCATCAAAAGCATCTTTGCATCAGAACTTCAAGTTGAAAGATCTTGGAGAATTAAGATATTTTCTGGGAATTGAAATTGCTAGATCAAGAAAGGAAGTATGCCTTGGAGATGATTTCAGAGGCAGGACTCTCAGTATCAAAGCCCAATAAAACCCCAATGGAACAAAACTTGAAACTTACAAGCATAGAATTTGATGAGATTGTGAAAGAGAATACCGATGACAACGTCCTGGAGGACAGAAGGCTTTTTCAAAGATTGGTTGGAAAACTTCTGTATTTGACAATCACAAGACCTGACATTGCATCTGCTGTGCAAAGTCTAACCCAATTTATGCATGCTCCAAAGAAGTCTCTTTATGAGGTTGCATTACATGTTGTGAGATATATCAAAGATCAACCTGGATTTGGACTTCTCATGTCCAACAATAGTGTAGAAAGAGTTTAGGGATTCTGCGATTCAGATTGGGGATCATGTCCCATGTCCAGGAAATCAATTACAGGGTTCTGTATCAAACTGGGGAGTTCTCTCATTTCATGGAAAGCAAAAAAGCAGACTACTATCATGAGGAGCTCAACTGAAGCTGAGTACAGAAGTATGGCACATACGGTGGCAGAGTTGACAGTGGTTTGCTGAAGGAACTAATAGTAGACATTAAAGAGACTATGGAGTTGTTTTGCGATAACAAAGATGCCTTATAAATTGCTGCAAATCCCATCTTCCACAAAAGAACTAAACACATAGAAATTGAATGCCATTTTATAAGGGAGAAAATTCAAGAAGGATTGATCAAGACTGGGCGCATAGAAGTAATGAGCAACCGGCTGATATCTTGACAAAGGCCTTGGGACACCGGCAACATGCAGTTCTGGTATTCAAGTTGAGAATGAAAAATATTTTCCATTCTCAACTTGAGGGGAAATGTAGAAATTAGTAGCTTAATGCAGTTGTACCTAAGGCTATTTAAGTAATATTGTTCTAGAGGGTGTATAAGTGTAACTAGAGTTAGTTAGGTCGGTTAGTGGTTATATATGTATGTACAGTGCATTTCATTTAGTTAGTTGAAGAACTGAGCTTAGTTCTCTCTCTATCTTCTCTCTTTCTCTTTTTCCTTCATCTCTGAAAGTCGATGCTCATGAAGAGCTCAACAATGGCAAACCTAGGGCTTACTTTTAACAGTTTTTTTAACGTTTATAACCTAATAATAATAAATATTGTGTATTCCTACAAATGAAGTCTAAAACGTACCGCCTACTTAAAAATTAAAGGAAATATCATTGTTGTCCATAGGTAGTGATAACAAAATATTGAACCAATGATATTTTCTACTCAAAACAAAGGTGCTTCCAAATTGCAATACTTTCCTACCAATTGGTTTACAATTATGTCACTAAATAAGATAATAGCTCGGTTTTGATTTAATATTCTTTTCTGTGCTTTCTTGTATTGAGATATACTGATGAAATTTGTTAAAGTAAAACAACATGCTGATAACGAAAAGCAATATACTAAAGAATACACAAATTTATTGGACCTTTATATAAGAAAAGCTAAAAGAAATGCAAGAAAGAAAGGCAAAAAAATAAGGCAACAAAGAAAGACTATATAGTTAAGGACGCGCAACTCTATTAAATATTCTTTATCTGGGAAAAAAAAGAAAAAGAGTGTGAGAAACAAAGATTGCCTAGTACATGGTGATTTAAAAGAGAGGAGAAGTCATGACTAGTTTGATAATTTTGTATATAATTTAACCGGTTGTAATGAGTTATCTACTATTTTCCCAAGCTATCAATACATACTTTGTCTGAGTAATTTGATTATATAATAATTTTTTTATGTAAAGTTTAAATTCTAAAAGTATATATCTATAGAACAAGCAGATTCACTGCCAGCAACGAATATAAAATGATATTGTATATATATATTCTGGAGAGATAATGAATTGGGGAAAGAAAAACTTATTGTATTTCTATTTTATGTCCTATATATACACGTATAAAAAAAATGTTCCATTAACTATCATTAGCTAATTACAAAGATACCCTTACTAACCCACTCAACTAACTAACTACCGTTAACTAAGCATATAACTATACATATAAATACATCTATAGCTGAGCTATCATGTAATACTCTTAATACCCCCCTCGAGTTGGAGATGAGGAACTCACTGCCAATTTGCCAAGAATAGAAGCATGTTTGATCCCTGTTAAGGCCTTGGTAAATATATCTACTAGCTGAGCATCTGTGGGGATGTGATGCAAGGTGATAAGGCCATCATGCAACTTGTCTCGTACAAAATGACAATCTACCTTTATGTGCTTGGTACGTTCATGAAACACTGAATTTTTTGCCATGTGTACTGCAGGTTGGCTATCACAAAAAATTGAGATAGGATGTAAGCAAGGAACTGTCAGTTCTTCTAGCAATCGTTTAAGCCATACTAGTTCTCCAACAACTTTTCTTACTAATCTGTATTCTGCCTCTTCATAGGAGAGGGAGACTATTTCCTACTTCTTGGATTTCCAGCTAATAAGGATATCACCTAATAAGAGAATGTGTCCACTCAATAATCGTCTAAAATTGTGGCATGCAGCCCAGCCTGAGTCACAGAAAGCCTTCATAGTACAATCTGGGTTGTTGGAAAAGAAAATGCCCAATGTTGGATCATTCTTAAGATACTTTAAGACATGCAATGCAACTTTAAGGTGAGGCTCTCTAGGTATTTGCATGAATTGACTTAAGTGCTGAACACTATAGGCAATGTCCAACCTTTTATTGTTGAGGAAGTTAAGCTTCCCAACTAACTTTCTATAGTGAGTAGGATCTTCCAGTAGGGCTCCCTCTTCTGCCTTCAACTTGACAGTACAGTTAAGAGGAGAAGAGACTATAGTGTACTGATTGTCATACTCTTTCAACAGATCTGCAATAAACTTTCTCTGTGAAATGAGGACCACATCATCTTTGTAGAACACTTCTAGTCCCAAGAAACAATGTAACTTCCCTAGATCCTTGATTTTGAATTGATCATGGAGGAAAGCCTTTGGCGCCTTAATTTCTTCTACAACTATGCTTGTAAGAATTATATCATCAATATAGACAACAACAAACACAATTGAAGAGCTATCCTTTTTACAGAACAATGAATAATTATTTTCTAAATGTCTAAAATCATTGGTGCATAATGCATCAGTCAGCTTGTCATACCACTGTCTGCTTGCTTGTTTCAGTCCATATAAGGACTTGTTTGCAAACTAGACCAGGAACCTCAGTCTGCAGTCCCTGTGATATCTCCATATACACCTCTTCATGTAGGTCTCCATGTAAGAATGCATTGTTCACATCTAATTGGAATAGGTTCCAGCCTCTTTTAACTGCTATACTAATTAAGGTCCTAACAGTTGTCATCTTGACAATTGGAGAGGATGTTTCAGTATAGTCTATTCCTGCTTGTTGTGTGTATCCTTTTACCACAAATCTTGCCTTGAATCTCTCAACAGTCCCATCTGCTTTGTGTTTGATTTTATACACCCATCTGCATCCTATGGCTTCCTTACCTGTAGGCAATGTCACTAAATCCCATGTGTGATTAGCATACAAAGCCTCAAACTCTTGTGTCATGGCTGCTTTCCATATTGGGTTTAAGGTTGCTTCCTCCTAAGAACATGGTTTAGATTCATGAGAAATGTTTCTCATCATATGCTGACTATCCTTGTTTAAAGCAGTCAAGTTGATGGTTTGGAAGGGAAAAATTAAGTAATATAGTTTGTGAGGTATTGTTCTTTAGATTTGTAAGAGAATACACATATTCATTTAGGTAGCTTGGTATTTTGACTGTTCTGGATGGTCTTGTAAGGCTTGGGAATGAGGAAGTATAATTAGTGGTATGATGGTATGAAATGTTTGAAAGACTAGGTGATATTTCAGAAACACCTGCATCAATAGGTGAAGAGTTACTTTGATCAACTAGTGAGGAAATATTTTGATTACCTAGTGAAGAAGTGTTGGTGACAGAACTTGGTGAAGTCCCAGTTGGTAGATGACTATGACTCAATACATCACTTCGATGACCTTCACACGTAGGATCAGAATGAAAGGAACAAGGAAGAGAAGTGTGATTAGAAGACACTACAAAAGGGAAAACATGTTCATGAAATTGTACATCCCTGGAAATATGTATACTTTTAGTGGCCAAGTTTAGTACCTTATAACCTTGTATGCCAAAAAAGGTAACCTACAAAAACATGAGGCTCAATTTTGGGTTCAAACTTGTCTTTACGAGTCTTAAGAGTAGTAGGACAACATAAACATTCAAGCTTTTAAGGTGTGAATAATTGGGTTTCTTCTTGTAAACCATTTCAAAAGGTGATTTGTTATTCAGGATTGTAAAGGGTAGTCAATTAATCAAGTATGTGGCTGTGGGGATGCATTCTCCCTAATATTTGATCGGCAACTTGGATTGGTACAATAGGGCTTTTGTAGTTTCCAACAAATATATGTATTTCCTCTCCATCACACCATTTTGTTGAGGGGTGTAGGGACATATTTTCTGGTGTATAATTCCTTTGGAATGAAAGAATGATGAAGTTTCATTGTTGATAAACTCCAGTCCATTATCAGACCTCATGGACCTAATAGAAGAATTAAACTAGTTTTCTATCATACATACAAAGGTTTTTAGAACTTGAAGTGTATTACTCTTACAACTCAAAAGATATGTCCAGGTTGACCTACTAAAGTCATCAACTATGGTAAGAAAATATTTGTAATTGTCATGTGTGACTGTGTGGCATGGCTCCCAGAGGTCTATGTGGTTTTCTGTGAAAATGGTAGTCTTGTTTGTCTGGCCATAGGAAAAATTGAACATAAGAATGGTTGTTTGGGTGCAAAATTTACAGGTATGGAGGATATTCCCCTTATTTTCTCAAAAGGTACATGGCCCAATCTATTATGCCACAAATAATCAACACAATTTCTATAAGATGAAGAATTAGAAAAGGATGCACACACATTAATAGAATAAGAAGATGTACAAGAACCTTTCTTATTGCTTGAAAGTGGAATATTTACAAACGATGATGGTGAAAGACAAGTAGCAGGACAAGTTTCTAAGTGGTCATTATTTACAGTAAGTGATGTGTCTGATTTGTGTAGTTGTGTATTGTTTGAATTGCTAGTAGAAGCAGAACATGAATTTGAAATGAAAAAAGTAGGGACAATAGCTGAACCAAGAAACTAGCATTTTGAGCAGAGGAAATACAGACCATTTCTTGCTCTACCAATCTCCAGATGCTTTTTCATTGAAGGGGCCTGTAAAATGCAGGAAGAATAAAAAAATTGGACAATTGACTTAAGATATGATGTTAAACAATGAACTGAGATCAAATTGAACTTAAAACTAGGGACAAACAACACTTTGTGTAAAGTCGACTTAGGACTAAGGACTGCATCACCAATTTCTGTCACTTTAACTTTGTATCAATTTGGTAAGGTTACAAGTAAAGGATAAGGTAGAATTCTAATGTTGGTTAATAGGGCTTTGTTATAGGACATTGATTAGAAGCCCCGGAATCCTAAATCCAATATTCAGCAGATGATTTGGAGCATTTACATGAAAGATTATCAATAATTTCTTCATGAGTGGAGCAAGCCAATATACCTGCAAAGTTTGCTGCCCTACTAGTGATGTTGTTTGAGACTTCAATTGCATTTGCACCATAGAAGTTCTCCAATAGATGTAGTAGCTGATTATACTGCTCTTTTTCAGGTTTTTAAATCCACATGCTTTGATTTCCAGCATCAACTTCACTGCATCCTCCAGGAACTATCCCTTCAGGTCCTCCATGCACATTTGCAGCAGATGCCATATTTTTTCGTTTAGTGAATTTGAAGTCTTGGGGGAATCCGTGTAATTTGTAGCATTTATCTTTGGTGTGTCCTTGCTTCTTACAGTAGTCGTAAAACAGGCGTAACCTATTGATGGATAACTATCGTTGTATGAGTTGTTTCCTGTAGTGTTCCTCTACTGAGCATAGTTTGGCCTAAAGGCTGGATTTGTAGGACCATTGACATTCATTGAAGCAGACTCCATAATCAGATGGTTGCTTGGCCTAACTTCTCTTTGTTTTTCTTCCTGAATTAGGATAAAAAAGCTTGTGCAATGCTGGGCAATAGATTCATCATCAAAGTGCTTCCTCTCACAACTGTATAGACCTCGTTTAACCCTATTAGAAACCTAATTAGCCTTCTGTCCTGTTCAGCCTTGTGCATATTTGCCTTGACACCACAAGTACATTGGCACTTACATTGTGCATGCACATTTAAGGTGTTTAATTCTTCCCAACGCTTCTTCATTTTTGTATAATATCCTGTAATGTCTAAGGTTCCTAACTTAGGTCATTGATTTCCCTTTTAAGCCGGTACAATTTCATTCCATTCATATGATCGTACCTATCCTCCAGTTCTTGCCACAATTCCTTTGCATCGACCATATATTGTAAGCTATCTGCCAAATCCTTTGAAAGTAAGTTGAGAATCCATGATGTCACCATTTCGTCGCATCTCTTCGACTACTCAAATTTCGGATGGTCGGAATCTGGCTTCTTACATTTTTTTGGTGATGAAGCCAACCTTATTCTTTACTGAGAGGGCTCTGAGGACGCTTCTTCTCCAGGATCTATAACCAGTTCCGTCAAATACCACCGACACCAGTGTCGACCTGGCACTCTCCGAAGAATGCATGTATAAGGGATTGGTCGAATCCAAAGTATCCTTGTTTACATTTGGTGAATTTGTTGAATCCAAAGTATCACCATCTACCGCCATGATATAAGATGAATTAATCGACAAATCTGAAAAACTGTGGGTGAAAATTAGGGTTTCCCAATTTCGACTTGCAACTTCAAATCAAACAGATATTAGTGATGAAAATGATGAGCCTGAACGAGAATTGAGCCAACACTGAGCCTTAGCTTTGATGCCATGTCAAAACTAAGAGATTAAGTGTAAGTAGAAGTTGCCATTGAAAAACTAATAAAACTGATTGTATAATGAATTGGGGAAAGAAAAACTGATAAAACTAAGAGAGAGCAGTAGAAACTTTTGGAGGGATAATGAATTAAGGAAAGAAAAACTGATTGTATTTCTATATTGTGTCCTATATATACACGTATAAAAAAAGTATTCCACTAACTAACATTAGCTAATTACAAAGATACTCTTACTAACCTACTCAACTAACTAACTACCATTAACTAAGTATATAGCTATACATATAAATACAGTTGTAGTTGAGTTGTCATGTAATACTCTTAATATATATATACACACACACACCAATTTAATATTTTGAATTTGGTTCTGAGTTCAAAGTCAAAGAGGAGATAGAGGGGAAAAAAGTGGGAGATTGAGATGAAGAGAATTGGGCCATAGACCAATAAGACAAAATAAAGGGCAAAGATTACTTTTAGCCTGCGGTTAAAATTATTTACATT